CTCTTTTACCAACAAATAGTGGGATTGACCATAACATTATAATGCCCCCCATGGCTGAAGGGGGCGATCATATTTGGTGTGACGGGGATCCGACCCATGACCCGCAGATTGCGAGTCGAGCGCCCTAACCACCTGGCCATTTTTTATATAAAAGGATTCTGATGTCAAGACAACATAAAGGCACAAGGTGCATTGTGAAATATGAAGGAACTTAACAGACAAAAAGAGGGTGTATTGAGGTATGTGAGAGATATACATTATACAAAAAGGAATTTTTAGGGAATTTTGTTCTGGTTAGCCTGATGAGTATGCAGAGTTCGATATATTGAACATTAAAATTTCTCTCTCCTGCAAACTTTTACATGGTGCTTTCAATATGATCTTGCCAATTCTAAACAATATTTTAAACAGTGCTTTCAATATGATCTTGCCAATCCCAAAAAATATTTTAAACAGTGCTTTAAATATGATCTTGCCAATCCCAAAAAATATTTTAAACAGTGCTTTAAATATGATCTTGCCAATCCCAAATAATATTTTAAACAGTGCTTTAAATATGATCTTGCCAATCCCAAATAATATTTTAAACAGTGCTTTAAATATGATCTTGCCAATCCCAAATGATATTTTAAACAGTGCTTTCAATATGATCTTGCCAATTCCAAATAATATTTTAAACAGTGCTTTCAATATGATCTTGCCAATCCTAAACAATTGTATTGGGAATGGGCAAACATACAAATATGTTCATGATCGTCACTGTATAACAAACACTGAACAATTAATATAAGAAATAAATTCTTAATACCATAAAATAGAAGAATGTGTGCAGTGTACTTACGACAATTCTTTTCATCAGATTCATCCCTACAATCATTTTTGCCATCGCAACGCCACATTATAGAAATACATCTATCATCACCGCCACTACAGCGATGCTGTCCACTTGTACAGTTGGCTATACAGGTTTTACCACTACTGAGAAGAACAAACTGATCGGGACAAGCACAAGTACGACCACCACCAGGTGAAAGTAGGCACAAGTGGCTGCATTCTCCGTTATTTGTCTCACATGGGTTAGGATCTGAAATTAACAAAATACACAAGTAGAAGAAGAAGTTCATTTTCTGTTTCATCATTCTCAACTGAAAGAAATCAACATTACTGTTAAATTACCAAGATAAATTTGAGGTAAACAATGTAATACACAAAACATCTTGCACATTGGTTTTATCAACCACTAATGTTCTTTAGTATTTGTATATATGGCAAAGGTATTAAGGCTATCTGTTGCCATCCTTAATTTTGAACTACTGACAATAGGGAATTCAGCCAGTCAGCAGCATTCTATCACCCACCATCCATGCTAAAAGATTGACTGTCACTCTTATAATGCACAAACAGCTAAAATTGTGAACAATATTCTATTCTGTAACACAGACTCAAACGGAGTTCTGAATTCCACAGCTCTACCACTGGTCAAACCTATACCCATGTTCTTAAGATGCCTAATTTTCATGTACATCTGCAGATCTACTCCTGTTAGCTCCTAAAACTCCTTTGAACAGCATATAGAGGCTCCAATTTTATAAAAATTCTAAATTCTGAACTCTGATTATTGGTTTGAATGGCTTCTTGCATGATAACTGATTTGCTTGAAAATTATGTTAAGTCAAACCCAACAGCTCCCATTAAAGTTCTTTAGAAAATATTTTCTATACATTTGCAATAAATGTCAAGATCCCATATAAAAAATTAAGTCATTTTGTCCAAAATTTTGAAAGATGGTTCAATAAACCAAGCAAGTATAGAAATACACATAGATACAACTGAAAATTACTATACGGATGCTTTAAAAAAGTTTCAGTAAAGCAGATTTTTTTTGTTTCATGATAAAATAAGTTTCAGTTAGAAGTCAAGAAAGTTGCCCTACCTTTCTTGTGTTTTTTGTCCATGTTATAGAGGCTTAAGATATGACATATGTGCTTACAAAGAAATTCTTATGTTATGCAAGTTTACAAAGAATTTTAAAATCTGATATACTCAGCTTTGTTAATACTTACTGGAAAAAAACAAAAACTTCACTTGAAAAGGAAAGAATAATCCACATTGCTTTGTGAATGTTAGACATACACGACTGTTTCAGTTTAAGTTTAATGTGAGCATTACAATTTAGATAGTTTGTATAGCATAGATGTCATATTTAGTTATTTTCAGAAGCAATATTTTATGATAAGTTTGTTTACGTAACTGTTTATGAATCATTCATTGTGTAGTTCAATTGTTATGAATTAGCAATTATTTACAATAGTGAGAATATTGCATCTTGTTGCTAGAACTTTGAGTTCCTTGTGCTTTTCTTCAGTATTATTGCATCAGAATATATAGTATGGAATGGAGTGTTCTAGACTTCTGTCAAGGTATATGTATGTATTAAAAAATCATTATTGAGTTCTAGTTCTAGACTGCATGATCACGAGCAATTCTTAAAATGAAATTATCATATACTGTATTGTAATAACAAAGTAGACAAGAATAATTCATATTGTCAATTGTGTTCTAAAGTAACTGAACCAGCCCGTGTGGACTTTTATGAAAAACAGACAATTATTTAAAGCTCTGGATACAACTGTGGTATCAAACAGTGTAATGAACATTTGTATATACATATAATTTGTTTTATAGATTATTTTTTAAATAAACAATTGCGTTGCTGTTTATTTATAGTTGAAATTTATCACCAACAAGTCCCAGACACCTACTGTAAAGAATCCGGCCTTACAAAACCTGACAGTGAAATACAAAATAAATGCTATACTGTAATCAAAAATTTATGTTCAGTTGAAACACATATGATTTTAAAAATATTAATTTGAAAGAGGTTTGTATGGCTATACTGTGATACATACACTCCACAATAGTTTTTAATATTATACAAATTCAGAGACATTTAACATACATTTTCCTTGAAAGGACAATGGTCATCAATTTGTTTGTGCAAGAAGAAAGAAAATTGCTATGTTCCATTTCAGAACTAATTTCTGGACAATGGGATTGCAGCACATGCAATTTAATATTCAATAAAAACAAGTAACTTACATGGTAACTGTCTCAATGGGTGATAAATATGAATGTCGTATGGCCTATGTGATGTATTCCTCAGGACCTGAATGTTCTCTCCAGTGAACTTGAGAGCTTTGTAAAGTCCCTTCATGTTCCAGTCAGTCCAGTACATGACGTCATCAAATATCGAAAGAGAGAACACATGTGGTACCGTTTTTCCATGGATAACAGTGTGTCGATTCTTACCATCCAAATCAGCAAATCTTACAAAAAATGATAAAATAGAAAGTTTAAATTGAGAATTACAAGTATTAAAAGAAAAACTGAAAGTCAGTTAACTACTGATGATTTAGTTCAAAATTTTTAATATTCAGTGTTGCATTATGATAAAATATAATCTAACACATAATAAAAATTCTCTCTTACAAACTTGTATTTTATTTAAAAATGCTAGTTACTTTCACAAGTTTGAGGTTAAAATGTAATTTCAAAACACACCACAATCGATGATTGGGTATTTGAACTTACTCGATATAGTCTAAGTGAGCATCTGCCCAGAAAATTTTGTTGCTGAAATAGTCAATGGTGAGAGCATTTGGCCACACCAGCTTGTCTTCATAGGTTATCAGTCGAGAGAAGTTGGATCCATCCAGCCCGATTCGGCCAATGAAAGCGTGATGACCCCAGTCAGTCATGTATAGATACCTTCAGTGAAGTTAATTTCTTAATTACTACTATTTTCCTCAATGATACAATAACATATT